AGGGATATTCGGTGTTTGTTTGCAATCGTTTTTGCAAATAATCAGTTCACATTCAGCAAGCCAGTGTTTCAATGGTGCGTGTTTCCCACTGTGATGATTCACTTACGAGCTATTGCGTAGATTGGCTGGTCATCGGAGTAATCTATCAAAGGGCTACATTGCATCTACAATTCGTGGTCTTACGTGTGCAGTTTTTGAACCCTTGTTCAGATTTCAAGTTTTCTTTATTAAACATCTTTGTATGATGAACAGGAGACCGGGCGAACTCCATAGTCACGAAGATCTGCTGTTCAGTGATGGAGTGGCGAACCATATAAGGCTCCACTAGACTAGGCATGATATTGAATCGAACGGCGACCATAAAGCTGCCTATCACCAAATTTGGGTGGCGGTGGAGGGGTTTGAACCTTGGACCATAGAGACAGCGACTAAGCCACCACCACCCAAGCTACAGGGTTTTGCTGATAGCCATCTAGAAATCACGTGGATTCAAATGCACCGAAGCTAAAAGAACGATGGATATTGTCTTGTTTAACCAATAATAAACACCGCTTTTAAAAGATTTTTCTATTGGGGGACGTTCTTTTCTCACTCTACTCATGGTCCTTTGTCGAGTCTCACTCAAGTGATTACCGAAAGGTTGAACTCGAAGTTCAAGGTTAAAAGTACTAGGACGGTCCTGGTTCGGTTTCTCTGTTTTTACTCTAATTGATTTCACGTACTCATATCAAGAATTCAGATCTGACTGGGAATCTAATTTGTTCGACTGATGATGCACATGAAGTCCAACGATTATGAGTTTGGATAAAGATATAGCTGAACAATATAACCCCTGGGAAAGGTAGATTTCAATAATTCGCACTCACGCTTGCACGTGTGAACCCACATAACATTATAAACTCAGGAGTGTGAAGGGCGAGTAGCGATTGTATGGCAATGCAGGTGTTCGGAGAACAGGTCTGACGTTGGCTATCGAGAATCTGTCTTTAAGTCAAGTAGATTGGGCCAATAATATCCATATTAAGTAATCGACCACGTTCGGCGCAGTGAATGAGGGATGCAGGCAGCAAAGACGTGCGCGTGGCAGTCTAAAAGAGGGATTGGAACGGTTCGCAGCTTTTCATCAAACAAGAATGTGTGCGAGTCATGACATCGGGTATAGTTCAGTTCAGTTAAACAACCAGCCTCACCAAAAAATGTTCCAGTCTATAGATGTGTGGCTAAATCTTTAGGTGAGTAAAAATCCAGTTCACTCGGGGCTGAACTCTGCAGTCAAAATCTCCTTTTAAGCCACATTTTTCAACCATCCTCCTGCTTGTCGTATCTTATTTGTTTTTCCGCCACAAATAAATGCATTAGCTTGGTTCGTTTTCTTGTCAGGTAAATGTTCGCAATAAACCAAGCAGTTCGTTCGAATGGTTCTTACTGGTCACTGTAGGAAAAGATGGAAGGAACTGAGATAAACTAATCAGTGCTCTATCCATGACCTTTGCTCACTCTTGGTGGTGCCTGACCAATAGAGGTATAGCTACCTCACGTTCCTATCCACGCTTTTAACTAGTGATCCGAAAACAACAGAAACGTTTGCCTTGACCTCTGTAAACTCAAAGGTGTATGCTGGACCGAAGCATTCGTGATGTTCCGAAATCTGATCGAACTTGCTAGGTATCACTAACCATTGTGTCACGTGGCGTGACGCTCAATGGTGAGTTAGTGCGTGCTTTGTCGAGATTCGTTAATCTACGATTCCAACCTCTTGCGTGTTCCTGTGATATAGCGTCACTTGGATGAAACTTATTACCAACGTTGGAGGAAATATTTTAGTAACAGAAACAAATGACGCAAGGGGCACACTACTGGATATACACCGCGTAAGACCATATCACGTGGGTTGTTCGACTCGCGAGCTGGTGGTTACAAGCGACACAGCATGATGAATTGCACAAAATGTTTAAGGAAACCATTTTTCTTGATTGTGATTTAACAGAGCGAGAATGGATCCATTGGTGACAATTCATACAATTCGAACGCATTCAAAGGGTATGTTCTTTACATTCAGCATAAATCCGTTTCTGCACCATCAGCGTTCTTTTACAAAGAAATGTAAAGTTGACAAAGAATTTCGTAATATTGTGACCGTTATCATGACCTACTTGCACTTCACGTCGGTACAGTCCGCATCGCCTGGATGCTATTTTTTTGGTTTGTTCTCAAATTTGAGCCAAACACTAATCCGGTTGTAATTAATCAACCATGTTCTAGCGTGGTTCTCAAGAGAATCACCATGCTCACTCGTCATATCTTGGTAGAGGACCTTGTTCCTGCTCTCGACAGAGTTCTCCTCTAGTATTTATATCTCAGCAAGTTCATATAGTGAAGCGGATGCCCCAGCCTATCGCCACGGCGGCCGAGTATTTGAATCCCACCACCACCTCCGGACTTTCCCATACTGCGTTTTACGGCGGCCCTCTGGTTGGTCGCTTCAGTATCCCTGAAAGTCGTATCAGTTTATACATACAACAAAAGGAAGGAAAAAGTGAATATCATGAACTGTCAGAAAATCTGGTATAATACATACCCACGAGGGATGTTAATCCGCCAGGGTAAATACCATTCGGAGTTTACAAATAAAATAAGTTGTCCATGTAACAAACAACTGATTGATTAAATATTATCTGATCAATGATTCTGATTGTGTTTAACCCGTGGGCTAATGATCCATAACGCTGGTTAACAAGTCTGTCAGCCATAATACATAAAGAGTCTAGACTAATGCTGTTATCCTCCTATAATTAATACCACTTCAAACGCCATAGGCAATATGCTGAAAGAATTTCGTTACCACAACGGAACATATAAAACCATGTTCTTGACAAAACTCTGTGGAGACGAATTGTAACTTTTCTGTTGCACCATCACCAGGCGACGATGCTGGGCACAGTTTGACGTATTGGTGGATTATCTCTAAAGCAACAGAGTCATGCTTAGAAACGTAAAGAGGTTACATCCAATGCATATTTGCTCTCCTTCTGTCCTTCGTTCTGTAAATACTCGGATACAGTCGAGGAAAATTATGATTCGGCAGGCCGTAATCGATTACCGTTCGTCGTAGTTAACTTCCTCGATCGACACATCTGCAATGGTAGTCAGTCACGCGATCGTTTCGTAATTGTGCGTCTATTCGCGTTCGTCGCTTTTCGATTGATCAGGAACAGATGTTCCGTTTCGCACGGGAACTCCTGCGCTTTTGACAATATAAGTGAGACGAAGGAAGGGGATATGCCCTATCCGAGTCAAAAACTAAACTTTCATTCCCCTACCCGCCCCCCTTCCAAATATTTTANTTTTATTGGTTTTAGGCTGACGGTCTGCTCAGTGGTGATAAAATGGTCGTAAATGAACAAATGGCAGTCTCAATAAAAAAAAAAACTGATGAGTTTTTCACTTAACCATATGACCTCAATGATTTGGGAGTATTTATTTTATTGCTCTATCGCAACGCACGGACTGGTGAATTCATCAAGATTCCAGTCATCAATATTGAATTGATCCGCCATTAAGCAATGCACACTGGAGTCATACACATAGCGGTTGACCTTTCTGTTAGAAAAGTCGTTATTCCGGTCCAACGAGTGTACTATCTGTTCAAGGTTTAATTTAGCGATAAAGGTTTGTGGAATCAGTTGATTTTCAAACCGCGACCACTTCCGTTCATTATATATCCTAAAAAGAGCAATTGTGAACTTTCGCTATTTTTGTGCATAAAGTGATCACCACTTATCGCAGTGGTTACGGTTCAGAAACCCCGCAGTGGTTGAGAATCCACAGAGTGGCAGTCTTCAATTGGTCTTATTATTTATGTGCATTTCAAGACTTTTTAAACCCAACCTACTCCCATAGAAATATTTCTTTCACTCTTAGAAACACCATTTATTCTGAAGCACTTTTTGCACTCTTAAACGCATCAGACTCTGTATGGGTCTTACTGCCGAGGGGTACAATATACTTGAGTGATGTAAGATCATGAATTTCGTAGCTATGCAGAACTGATGGTGCTGGTACTAGATTCATACCTAACACAAAGTAACGGGCCGTGTTTGCCCGGTAGTAAAGGTCACCAAATTATCACCACTGCTTACCATCCCCATTCGGCGTTTCGTGGCAGCCCTTTGGTTGGCCGCTTCCCTATTCCTGACAATTGCATCATCATATATTCAATAAATGTAAGTAAAACGATAAGAAAGGAAACAGTACTGAGTATGTTTCGTGAAATTGAACTACATTTATCTAAAATAAACCGCAATACCACCAGCCACAATAAGCTGACTGATACAGCGAGAGACAACAGTGCCAGCTTGTGGACACAAACGGCGCATTGATACAAAAAATACCATTTATTCTTAGACCACGGGTCGTACACAATGTTCAGGAACACATTAGTCAATCTGAAAAATTCATCGTGCAGTGTTCTATTTCGTCCTCTCCTCTGAAATGTACTGGAAGCGCTGTTCAACCACTTTCTCATCGTTGGGAGCTAATTCGTTTTGCAAAAGCACGGGATTGACTTGTTGCTATTCAAAAATATCTAACATGCGTTATCCTATTTCACGATCCTCTATGAATAATTCGGAAGAAGGACAAGATCTGTGGTCGAGCTTGACACGTTTAGATAGATCAACAGCACGAAGTGTACAAAGAACAAGTACACGGCAAAACACCCCGGAAGCTGACTCATTTCGAAATAGTAAGTTCATCCGTGGTGGTAGGCATTAAACAAGATTAAGTTTTCACAGGGTAAGAGATGGAATGGAAGTGAAAAGTTGAAATAACGTCACAACATCAAAGGCGCATACCAA